AATTGAGGCGATCCAATTGAGATTTCAAATGGGGCGAACCGTGGCATCATAAAGGTGCTCAACTTCAGAAGTCACTGGATGAATTGCATCGCAAAGCCACTCTAAAGGTTAGTCTGATGTAACTGTTCCTGGATCAGGCTGCTCATTTGTAAAGTGCTTTTCAGGTGTCACTGCAGTCGTTTTCTCCAAGCCAATCCTAAATGGGGTGCAGAGATGGTGGCTATAGAAATGCACATGATAGCATTTAAAATTAGAAAGCCAGTGTGGTGTAGAGGTTAAGAGTGCAGGACTGGGACTCAGGAGGACTGGATTCTAGTCCTGCTCAGCCATGGAGGTAGCTGGGTCTCTGTGGACCAGTCACAGACTTTCAGCCCAGCCTACCTCACAGGGCTGTTTTTGTGAGAATGAGATTGAGTGGAGGAGAATTATCTCAGCTGTCTTGAGTTCCTTGAAAGGAAAAAAGACAGGATATAAATATTATGCATGGCGTATAAAACTAGATAGGGAAACATTTTTCTCCTCCACTCATTATATTAGAATCCAGGAGATTCAGGACAGCAAAAAGGATGTACTTCTTTACACAGAACTTAGTTAAACTGTAGAATTCCCTATCATAAGATGTAGTTATGGCTACAAATTGGAATGGTTTAAAAGGAATTAAAGAAATCCATGGAGGATATAGCTATCCATGTAGTCAAGTTATGATGGATATATTCAGCCTCCAGCTGTACTTGCTGGAGAACCTAAGTGAGTAGATGCACATGAAGAATATAACTTTTTCCTGATGACCAAACTATAAGGATCTGTTACTTAGGGTTCTAGCAGAGAAACATAGGAGGGTCAGAAATATAAAAAAAACTGCACTACAGCACATCACCAGAGGAAGGCGGGGTGTTCAATCAGGTTGCCAGATTCAGTTCCAGCCTACAGGAAGCCAATTTCTGCAGCTGAACTCCAGTGCTAGATACATTCCAACACACTGTGCCTTAATACTCTGGTTTACTGTTGGGTGTGCCGTACCATATAACAATGTGCAGTACAGCACAGGTGTTGCATGCAGAGGGCTTATCTATCCCCATGTAGTGGGCGGAAAGGGCCATGCCAGAAACGCTGGAAAGCCACGGCCAGTCTCTGACACCAATACTGGGGTAGATGAACCAATGGTCTGACTTGGTCAGGGAGATTCCATTCTTTCCGAATGAGCACTCAGTTAAAAACCATTGGCATCAGCCCTGAAGCCATTAAAAATGTGTCCATCACTAGTTCAAAGCAGTGTAATCGGCAATATGGTTCCCACATAGAAAGTCCTCTAATCATATGCCAAAATAGATGAGAGTGGAGGAAGTTGAATAAGGAAAATGGGATAAACTTTAGATCTTTTCCCCAAATGTTCTCCAGGGAAATAATAATCCAATCCATCTAACCACTCAGTCCTTCAGCTGCATCAATTAACATTTAGCCATGGATTCCACTGTTGGCCAGGCTGCATTTGTCTGTATTGTTTTGCAAAAATATGTTCAAGCCTGGAATTTCATGCCTTTTAAAAAATGGGGGGAGGGGATTCAATTGGCTGAGTTTGTTTTTTGTGCCTGGTTTTGGCCAAAATTGCAATAACCACTTTATTCACAAACAACCCAACAACTAGATACTGTCGGTGGGTGGATTGAAATGCCAAAGAAGTCAGCTTTTCCCCACTTGCCAACAACAGACGGTACTATTGAAATGAAAAAATACTTTCTCTTTTGGCACCCGTTCAAGAAGTCTGTAAACTAATACCTACCTCTAGCCATACTTTCCAGCTAAACTCGCAGCAAAAATGCAGCCCAATGTATTCTGGGCCATGGCTCACCCCAGGCAATTGGGCAACCGGAAAGCAAGTGTGGTGTAGTGTTAGCGCATGAAACTGGAACTTAGAAGGTCCAAATCCTAGTCCCCACTTGACCATGCAGCTCCCTGGATGACTTTGGGCCAGTCACTCACTCTCACAGGTGTGTTGCAAGGATACTTAGAAAGGAAGGCCACCTTGGAATATAAAAGTAGGGATAACTATATGAGCATTCTTCCATTCTGCAAATTCTGCAGGAAATACTACTGAGCTAGCTGTTGGCCATCATCACACGCTTGCTCCCCTGGTTCTGTCACTGCTTCTAAGCTGGAGCAGAAAAGTTCTGCTTACCTAGAAGCTGTAGCACTCACTGCCAAGATATGCCTGTAACTTATGATAGGCCTTCTCAGTGTCGACGTTTTTGTTACTGTTATTTATTTCCTTTCTATACTGCCTGATAGGTGACGTTGTTTTAGCTGTTATAAAACAGATCTTATAAAAAGGATACTGATAGCTTACTGATAATTGTATCGTGGTTTCAAACTATTTAAAAATTTTGTATGTTAAAGCTTGCATTCTTTCTTGTTGGATTTTAGGATTTTGGTTTTTGTGAACCACCCTGAAACTTTGGCCACTGAGCGGTACAGAAACATAGCAAGGGGAAGAATTGAATGAGAAACAGGGGTTCTGTGCAGGTGCAGGGAGGATCTATCCAGATTGTGGAGGAAAGTGTGTGAACAGCCCGTTCCTTATTTTCTCTCTTTGTGCTTCAAATTTAGAACAGACTCTGTAGTGTTCAGGATGGATAGGAAAGATCTCCTTTACTGCCATGCATCTTTTATGCTCCCACTATTTACATGCCTTTCCCCTTTTCCTGTCAATGACAGTGGAGGATCATTCGTAAAACTCATAAGGGTAACACCAACAAAATACAGTCTTGCAACAGTTTGCCAAAAGAATAGGAGGGAGACATCCAGGTGTTGTCCCTGGCTGGTTGCCTGAACTTTTGCCCTACAGGCCATTTCAGTCCTGCCTATGTAAGACACTGGAGGTCTGTCTGGAAAATAACAGGGACATTACTCTCTGCCACCTCCGAAAGCTTGCCAAAAGTGGAAGCTGACATACTCAGGACAGGTATGAGAAATTCTAGTTTACACTCCCTAAACTCCAAAGCTGAACTGAATGCAAATCTTGCTCAAAATCCGAAACATTTCTAAGCTTGCAATGAAAATTGCAGACCCAAGAAAAGCTTGTTAGCCAATGTGCACACTTGAAAAGACTGTGCATGAAAAACTGTACACTTTTGAAAAATGCACACAAACTATCACAGTGTTGAAAATCTCTCCCATATTTTGTTTGACTGTTCTCATTCGATTTGATAGAAATGAAATTGCTTTTGAAAGGAAATTCAAAAGAGAAGAATATTACAGAGAAATTCTCATGGGTTGTGTTCAGGATTCCTGTGTTCACCTTACTGATGAGACAGCCCACTATGTGGGCAAGTGTCCTGTCTCCCTTGTTCAATCAGCATTCTCAAGGTCCGTTGCTTCCTTGGCTTTCTGCACTTCAGTGGAAGCCCATGAAAAGACACCACAAGATAATTTCTCCCATTGGGAGTTTTCAGATCACAAAGTGAAGGCATCCAGGAAGAATGTAAAGCAATGAAAAGCACATGTGCTAGAGTACAAACAGCATTTTCATCAACCTTATGGGGATTAGAGAAGCCCAAAAACACCATCATTTTTTTAAAAAAAATACATGAATTATGGAAACCCTAAGGAAGAGAGAGAAGGCATTTTCATGGGGGAAGAAAGCTTTCTGGAAATCGGAGGCCAGATTAAGGCACACCCCCAGGTCCACCTCTTCCCTAATGCTGCATACAACAATGGCCAGCTCACACCTGCAGGGTGTGTAAGATGCAATGCAAGGGACCCGGTTGCCAACACAGGTGGTGCCTTAGGAAAGAAGAATGATGCTGCACTGCAGCCCCTGCTCCTGCGGGACCCTGTCTGTGAGGCAGTGCAGCAGAATTTCCTCCTTCCCCTGGAGGAATCTGGTGAACTTGCCCCCTCTGTCCACAACAGGGACATAATAGGGTAAAGAATCCCAAGGAACAATTTGTGCACATCAACACAAACCTGCTTTAATCAATGAGAGAAACTGTGTAGTTTTCAGTACACATTTGATTCATATATTTTGAGAATCATACACCAAAATATACAGATATTTTGTGCAAACAAAGTCAGAAGGAAGCTCACAGTCCGGTGGAAATACATTGTACTTACATCCTGCCTTTTTTCCTCTTTTGAGGGACTAAAAGCTCCCCTCCCCTCCATCCCTGTGAGGTAGGTTAGGCTGAGAGTGAGAGGCTGGCCAAAAGCCACCCAGTGAAGTTCATCCCCAAGTGGGGATTAGAGCTTGGATCTTCCTGGTCCCCAGTCCAACATTCTATCCACTACCCAACACAGGCTCTCAGGAAGTCAATATGAGCTGGAATTTGGAAATCCTTTTGCTGATTCACACATCCCTACACCTGCCTACTGCACTTCATCACCTCCAGTGCTGGATGGCTTCAGGGCAGACTAGCTCTTGGGCAACTGAAGGGGCTGATAGGGTTCTATACGGTCGAGAAAGTTTCTGAGTCTGGGCTGTGAGAAATGTGTGGATCTGATACATGGGAAGGATGGGAGTTGCTGTCCTCCTTGAGGGTACCAGGCTGGGGAAGGCTGACCTAGGTGCTTGCCTTCAGAAAGCCTGTTCTTACTGACAGTTTACGCCCAGCCTCCTGATTCCAGCTCCAGCCACTTCCTTTGTGGCACAACAGCCTTACAACTAAATCTTTGGACTGTTACCAACTGCCTGCTTTCCTTGCTATTGTTAACACATCAAATGCCTCAAGTGCTCCATTCCTTTTCATGCTGAGAGCCCAGGATATTCCAGCACTGTATGAGAACAAATGGGGGAAAGCGCACATAACCGTCTCTTCAAAAACTAAGGCGAGCAGAAAGAAAATAACATCCGTAAATAAGTTTTATCATGAGCAAAGGAAAAAGGAAAACCTCTGACTTTTTCTTATTTGCCACAAATTAAATCATGCATCAGCATCTATAGGACTGAATACAAAATTAGGCTGTCAGTACAAGATCACAACCAATTTATGAATCAAATAGCCTACCTGGAACCACTTCAAAGAGGAACTTCCCTGGACTTTCATCATTGCAGGAATGCTCAAGAACACGATTTCCAGGCAAGAATATGGTACCCTGGAACATAAAAGTTTGAAAAGAAACTCAGGATGAGACTAGTAGATAACAACAATCTACTTATTAAATCCCACGAAGAGAACAGTGCAACCCAGGTGAATCCTGTCCACCACAACAGGAGATCAACCTTGGATACCAATTTACATGAAATGCACATATGGAAATTTATATGAGCAGACACACATTTAGAAAGAATCACTGTAAACAGAAATGCAGTTCAAACAAAGCATCCCACTCTCTGTGCCTCTCACGTGCTTCACGCTCATGAGAACATTCATGCTTATTTGTTCGGTGCTTGCTTAATACTAAACACTGCTACAACTAACCATTGTCTGTTGCTTCAGCCCTGATTGTCATGGCGACACCATGATTTTTCTTGATGATCAAAGCTCTCTGGCAGAGCATGTACAAAGGGAGACATGCCTGCTGGGTTATAAGGAGAAAGTTGAGGAAATCATATTAACTATGTCTTGAACGCAGCAGAAGAGTTTTGCTTAGTGCCACTGTAACCCTTGAACAAGGTTAACACAAACATGGTTTGCAAACTGATTTCAAACCATGATTTCATATGCCGGTTTGTGCCCGATCCTGATTGATGTTGGTAGTTGGAATAGAAACAGGAGTGATTAAAGAGGAAAAAAATACAATTAAGTACCTATCAGCAGACACTGCAATGGGACTTAGGGAGGGAGAGATGCTGTTACGAATGCATGGGATTGAAGTTTAAAACTGCGTAGGTCAACAGAATGCGCATATGGCAATGCGGTAGTTATGCTTCTCTGTAAATACAGCTGAGAGTGAAACTGACTATCCATCTTGTTCGCAGCAGATCGATCTGAGACTTCCATTTTCTCTGCCACCTGCAGCCCTGGGGCACGCAGAATGCAGAATCTCATTTTGACATCATTAATAGCTTCCTCGTTCCACTGAACACTGAGCAACCTGGCAGCCCCCGGCAGCCCCAGCTGAGAAGGTGCATTCAAGAGCCTGCACGAAATATTTCTTTGTTTTAAGCATCCCAGCATCTAATTACTTAAATATAGTTTCGTTGCTCGCCCATGTTCCTTTTACACCCAGGATAGCCCCAAACCCAACCACACCTGCCATACACGGCTCCCTCCTTCATTTTTTATCATTTTGGCCTCAGGGGCTAAGTATGCTTGGGAGGATGCGAGGGGTGGGTCACACATCATGTTTATTATCATCATCATACCTGGAGGCAGTAATTGAAGTGAACTGAAAGGCCAAAACAGCCAGGCATCAACTCCTTAAAACAGGCCCTTTCCGGCCCACCTGATTTTGCAAATCTATTTCCATATATTTTGAGTTGCACTTATTCCATGATAAAGGTAATTAAGCATGCACTAATGATGGGAAATCTGGCTCATTCGAGGGACTGCCTGCCTGGTTCCAATGCAGCGATCAGTAGTGGGCCAAGTCTGGTTTTTTCCCACGGGCATCCATCTTAAAGAAGGGCTGCAGTTTGCACATTTTCATTGCCCCAAGACATGTGCAGGGGACAGGATGGAAAAGCTTTCAATTAATGAATAAATAAATTTGTTTTAAATGCTAGAGGAATTTGCACAGATTGCTCTACTGGTACAATCTGAATAAACCTACAGTTTTACACAATTGTGTAACATACTGTATATAGTGTTTTGCACAAATTAACATCTGAAAATCATGTGGGATTAGTGAGATTAGCATAAAAGTGGCTATTTTGTGTACAGGGCACTCCAAAAGCACTTTGTCCTTGCACACATTGCATGAATGTATGGACATTTGCTTAGTGGCTTTGTTTTGTTTTGTTTTAATGTGCAAATCACCCGCTCTTAGGGATGAAAATCTGAGAGCTGGCTTGACTAACACTGTCACAAATCAGCAGTAGTACCAGGCTGGCAAGCTGGAACCCAGGAAGCCAAACTGGGGAAATCCATTGGATGTTCATCCCTCCATCATATTCCTCATATATCCTAATTTCATTCTCTAAAAATAATGTCTCTCTTCCTCTCTGTTCCTCACATGCCCTTGCACGTGTGTGCATACACAAACACACACACATGTACATGTACACATGCCCAAGCGTACAGCACTCTGATGAGATTAGACAGCCAGCCAGCCTAATAAACCATTATATCTCTCGACCCCCAACACTTGTGTCAGCTATTACAGCTACATTACTGACATTACTCAACCATTAATTAACAGTTCCCTGATTTTGTAAATATTCTGTGTGCATTGTTTTGACTTCTGCTTTCTACCATCCATCACAAATTAATCACTGCTGGATCTTTCGTTCTCTTTGTTTGCTTGCATCACAGTTGCTCATGGCAACGGTGAAGCACAGGAGAAATGTCCTTTCTCATATCTACAGAAGCTTTTACTGAAAAAAAAGAAAGAAGAAAGAAAAGGAAAGGAAAGGAAAGGGTAAAAAAAAGAAGCTTCTATGCCTGTCTGCACCTTGACAACTAACTACCATTTTTAATGTAGGTTTATAGAAAAAAAATATAATTTAAAAAATACTGAGCCACCACCACCACCATGTTCAGGTATAACATCTGCTGTACAAGCCGTAAACAATTCATATAATGGCTGAAGCAGAAGGGAAGTGAGAAGAAGAACAGTGTTAATCTGTAGAAGTCCACTTTTTGGTAACATGGAAAATGGGACAGAACTGAGTGTGTTGCCCCTCTGAATGGTAAAACCACTAGTCAGCAGGTAGTACTATCAGGGTCAGGATGAGACCGCCATGTCGGCAGAGGGGCTGCTGCTGATGGACTTCCTGATGGACAGGAGCAGTGAAGGTCTGTTCAGGACATGGTCTGTAGAAGGGGCAAAATACTGAGTCAGCCTAGCCAGCAGCAGGGAGAAGCCCTGTAGACTGGCATTTTATTGACAGAGATTATCCTTATTTTTTACCAGTACATGCAGGACCCAAATCAATGATTCCCATGATAGAGGCTATGAAGGGTGATTTCACAGAGAAAACAGAATTAAAATCCATTGAAGGAAAGTATTTGTTTCGTTTTACAAGAAAAGCTTATGCAGAGGAAGGGTCAATAGGCAAGCATTGTTATCCAGATATTCTTGTTTTGTGGAGCCTTGGAAAGGAATAATTCTGAAATTATCTTCATTTGCTGAAAGGTGAAGGCCATTCTTATGTTGACTGAAGCCTGCTGGGGAAAAAATCAGTGAAAACTCGGTCTTTTTAGAGGATACTTTTTTGCCTTCAGCACTTATGTCTAGGGTCAAAAACAACCCCAAATATGACTACTGCAAGTGTTTGTTGATGCAAGCGAATAGTTAAGGCAGCTTCTGTCATGCCTGAAGCCCGGACAGAGGCAGCTACTCATGAGGAGGTCTTGTGCTTGGGACCCTGTACCCGAATGTCAACCCCACAACCTAGCTTGGGGGTGGCTGAGCAGATAGCTGCGCCTCATCCTGACCCTCCGCCCATTGAGCAAACACCCGAGCCCACATCAAAGCAGGAGAGCCCCGAGGGAAAAGGCACCACGAGTTCTGCCCAGAGAGAGTTTGAGCAGACTGCCCCACCCCCTCCGGACGCTGAGCTTCCTCAGCACCACACAGGAGACAAAGGCGGCATGATAGACTTTTCCCTAGCAACCAATCGGAGAATTCTGAGGAGGTGGGAGCAAAGGCAAGCCTTGTTATGCCTCAGAGAGGAAAGGCGGGGCCAAGACAGCTAGTCCCACTGGGCTCGGGGAGAGACGTCACTAAAGGATTAGCATCTGCACTGCAAAGACCTCAACAGTAGAGCTTATCTGTAGAGTTGTAAATCTTGTAGATAAGTAGCAGTAAAGACTTTAGTTTTGCTTGTGAATGTGTGGGTTGTTTATACGTTGAGCCGCATCTCAACAGCTTCTTATATTCCTGAGGACTTCGATACTGTACTTCTGGGTAATAATGTGTCCATGGGCACCTCTCTTCGCACAAACCAATCCTCTTACCATTTGTATTTTATTTAAAATATTTAATTAAATAATGCTTGAAATGGGAAGGCACAAGCTTCTATTGTCATCTTTATTTCCAAGACTATGCCTTGGCTCTAGAGCCATTGCTAGAAAATTAAAAATTGTGGTTGGCTGCAACCTAGTACTTCACAAGTGTGTCCAATGACCCATCAGTTCATCTCCTGTGATACTGATATTTTGCTGTGCATTGTGGGGATAAATATGTGATTTGGCACTTGGGAAGCAGCCCCTACTTCTGTTTTGTATATAAGTTATTTATTTCAGAGTTCACCAGTTTGCCCTCTGTGAAATAAGTGCAGAAGGAAAAATCTATGCATTCAAAATAGTGGCTTTGTATTTTGAAGCTCAGCTTCCTACAACTCTGCCTTGTTCTTCGATTCTCAGCTAAGTTTCACTTCTCTCACAGTGTGCTGGAAATGGGTTGTTTTCTGGCTGGCCACGGGGTTAGGATGAACCCTGTCAAAATCCCTCCCTCCAAGCATTTATGGGCTTCCTCTTATGCTCGGTCTGGTCCTGCAAAGTGAGCCAGGAGGAAGTCTGTAAATATTCACAGAATAAAGGCTGTGCAGCTGGCAGCCTTCTTCCACACAGCTGCAACTGGCCCAACAGCAGCTGGTGGTGATGCAAAGGGATGCTGCTTGTGCAGCAGTCGCAGGGGGCTTTTTCCTGGAAGCCCCTCGCAACCAACCACCTTCAGCATCAGGTGGAGCTGCCCAAATCCTGGCTACCATGGCGCAGGAGTGGGATGCTGCCTGCCCATCCTGTGGGACTCCGTTCCTGGCAAGCGCACTGCACTCAGCAGGAACTCAGCCTCAGGACTGCTGCGAAGCAGACCAAAGTCCAGGGAACCAAGCCCAGGAGATCCAACAGATTCCCAACCCCATACAGATTCCTTGCACATGCCAAAGAGGCTGTGCTCATGATGGCATCACTTCTGTGCAGGCAAAAGCTAAATCTGGATTTTTCTTAGAAATCCAAAATGCTAACCCCAACTCTCAATTCTCAGTG